ACAAGCTACTGGCAAGATAACAGCGTGTGCACAACTTGTGAGCTCCGCGGTATGACAGGCAAGTTAACTGTTTAAACCGCAGTACCGCCTTCTTTGACGTTAAAATAAACTCTGAATTCTTCTTTAAAATACAGAGGCATCTGCTCAAATACTCTGCGCTCCAGAACAGAATTAGAGCTCGCTTTCCACACGTTCCACCTTTCGTATTAAAAGCTAGGACGAGAAAACGTACAAACATGAACATATCTATCATTTGCGAACCTCTCCCTCTGTAACTCATGATTACAAATTTGGAAACATCAGCAGAACAAAACTTATTACTGATCATAAACATATCCTAACCATGAAAGAGCCGGTCACGGTAGCCGAGCAGTCTAGGGCATGTACTGCCTTCGCTCGCTCGGAAGCCGGGATCCTGGGTTCGAATCCCACTGAGGGCATGGATGTTTGTGTGCGTTTTTCTGTGTTTGTGTACAGGTAGAGGCTGATCACTCGCCCAAGGAGTCCTGCCGCATGAGTAAGATCTAGTAAAACCGAAGTGAAACGGAGAGGTTTCATGGAGGTAGGCCTAGGCCCAAAATGAAGGTTGTAGCGCCAAATAAAAAAGCCATGAAAGTGCCGAATGCGGTAGCGTAGTTCGCTGAAGCACTGCGGTAAAGCTCCACTCCCCATGAGGTCACTGAATTTTTAGATTAACCTAAACATTCCAGCCGCATTATGTCCCTGGAGTCGACAGAAATGAGTACCAGAATCTTCCTAGGCTGCGTCAGCGTAAGGCTGACAACCTCATCGCCATCTGTGAGCAGATTGTCTAGAAAATGTTGGGAGCCTCGACGTCTCACAACCCTATGGGCCTCCACGGCCTGTTACAGGAATACTTCACCATTTTCTCACGAACAGAGAATTAAAGACGGCAACTCGAGCTAATAAGATTTCAGTCACTGAACTCAGGATGTTTACTACATTTACATCCATTATTTAGCAAACCCTGCAACATTTGTCCGTGTTCTGAAGAGTAATGCGAAACATTTCTGACTGCTGCTGGAACAATACCAAACAAAACGAAACTCGTTAAAAATAGAAAAGGTTCGACGGTACAACGAAACGTACAACTCAACCTCATTCGTACTTCTACGCTACACTTATTCAGACAAAAAGTACGCTTTCCTTCGTGTCAAACTATAAGTAACTGGTTATTTAATATAGTAAAACCTAACTAGGCCGCGCCACAGCTCAAGCGGTTAGTCGCTGGCTTCCTACCGCGGCGGCCCGGATTCGATCCCGGGGTCTGATCAAGTGGGATTTGTGGTGAGCAAAGTGGAGCTGGGGCAGGTTTTCTCCGAGTACTTCGGTTTCCCCTGCCAATCTTCATTCCACCAGTTGCTCCACAATCACCCTCACCTATCATCTGGGGCTGGTACAATAGGCCAGAAGTGGCCGCAGTACAAGGGACTTAGTCCCACCCCACTAGCAATAAAAAAAAACTAACCAATTTGGAGTCTCACTTCACCACCATTTGCGGGCCGACTGTCTAGAAAATGTGGAAGCCTCGAGGTCTCACAACTCTATGCGACTCCCACGGTCTGTTACAGTGATAACTTTACCTTTTAATTCGGGCTCTCTATACTTCTGGACGAGGGGACATGCGGTAGCGTACTTGAGGCACGATGGTACAAACCAGAAGGTCGCGGGTTCGATTTCCGATGTCACTGGATTTTTCAATTGGCCTAATCCTTCCAGCGGCACTACTACCCTGCTGCCGACTCGGCCTCTTAACAGAAATGAGTACCAGGAATATTCTTGGGGGTAAAGGGCGCGTAAAGCTGACAACCTTGCTGCCATCTATGAGCCGATTGTCTAGAAAATGTTGGGGTTTCGACGTCTCACAACCTTATGGGCCTCCATGGCCTGTTACAGGGATAGCTAGACGCGTAAGTCTGATCTCACCGCCATCTATGAGCCGACTGTCTAGAAAATATGGGAGCCTCAACGTCACACAACCCTATGGGCTTCCACGGCCTGTTACAGGGATAATTCAAGTTTATATCTCTGGCTGCTTTCTGTTCATGTAGGCCTTAGTTCCACTGACTGCAGTTCTGTGTGTCTTAAGCATAATAGCCGGCCCACAGACATGTTACGAACGCATTTCCAATGTCAAGAAATTAAACTGGTTCATAATATATAATGTATCATTACGGAGTCAAATATTAATATCAGGAAGAGCTTCCGCCCACAGACGACGTAGAAATTGTCCCTTCTGAAACATTAATCTACACCTATGGATCTGTAGCCAGGAACTCAGACCACTAGACCAAAGAAGCGGCCCGTCTCATGAACTCTCTCCTGAAACATAACTATCCCTAAGAGTGGGGACTGCCCTTACAACCTACTTTTTCAAGCCACATGGAAGATTATGATAATTTAGTGAACAGTTCATTTGCATTTCAAATTGACCTTAAGCCCTTTTCCTTCTTATACAGAATCGCTAAACCCACAGAACCCGACCGCAGGAAATGTAAATAAGGAATTCAATAAACATTGATGGGAACTATATACAGGGTGTTTCTCGACTTTAGGGCAGAACTGCAGGAGGTGATTTCCTACGTCTTTGTGATCAAAAAAGTTCATATAAACATGTGTCCGATTTTGGACGGTTACGGAGTTATGACCGTTTTTTCATTCCCGTACACGCCCTCGTGTGAAACGCGTCTGTCCGCTGGCGGGTCGCTATTTTTAGCCAGCTACAGACAGAGCGTTTTCGTTATCTCGACACTTGAGATGTACCTAAGACGGGGAGGGTTGGTATGTCCGGCGCGGTTCACAACCGAGCGGCAGCCTGTTGCGGCCAGCGGTGGCATTTTAGAAAATCAGCTTTAAGCACCAATAAATTCAAATTAAAGGTAATTTCACGAAGTTAACTTTACGTTCATACTTTGAATGCATCATATATTATGCTGGTTTATTATTTTGTTCCGTTTATTGCCAGTAATCGTTACCTTCTATTCTGAGTTTAAAACGGTCATAACTCCGTAACCGTCCAAAATCGGACACATGTTTATATGAACTTTTTTGATCAAAAAGACCTAGGAAATCACCTCCTGCAGTTATGCTCTAAAGTCGTGAAACACCCTGTATTCTCTTCACACGCATCTTTCAGATAACATCAACTTTATTTCAGAACTCGGGAGGTGGAGATTGGTTGCGCGAGGAGGAGGCTGCGAGAGAGACGACCCACACGGCTTTCCCTCTTCGTGTGTCTCCCGCCTCTACTTTCTCGGTTCCGTCTTCAAGCGGGATAACGTAGGCGGTATAGCGACTGACCGCGGGCTGGACGACCGAGGAGTCGCAGCTCAAAACCCGGTTGGGGTAAGAATTTTCACTTCTCCACGTCGTCCAGATCGGCTCTGGGGTCAACGATACCTCCTGTCCAATGGGTACAGACGGCTCTTTCCCCGGGGGTAAGGCGGCAGTGGCGTGAAGCTGACCACTCCCACCTAGAGCAGAGATCAAGAAAATGTGATTCTATACATCCAATCCCCCATACGCCTTCATGTCGTAGTGTTTAATTAAACACAGGGACAATTTTTTTACCTTCAATATTTCGTTTCTGTGCATCCAAGTCAGTTGTCTTTCCTTAATGAAAGTCGGAGTAACATCTTCGGATATGCACGCAAGCGTTAAGTACAAGAGTCACGCATGCGCTGTGTAATCCTCTCCACAAAATCGACTATGCTGGATTCTGAGGGGGGGGGAGAAATTGCAAAGGAAAAATGCAAAAATGTTCCTAATACCGTCAACAGTCTATCCCCTCTGTCAGCATCTAAAAATTCGAGAAACAAATGAATTCCCATGACATTTTATATCGACACACTCCGATTTGGGTTAAAATTAGACAATAATAACAAACACTTTACCTGAATACCGACCCGCGTTTCTCATCTGTAGGGTAACTCGCAAAATATTTAAAAAATATTTCGATTCACAGCAAAAGATGTAAACTTGTCCCTGTGCTTAACTAATTAAGCACTACGCCATTATGGCGTATGGGGGAGTGGATGTATAGTTCCGCGTTCTCTTGACCACAACACTAGATTGAAGTTGTCATCTTCACGCCCCGGCTGCTCTACCCCGGGGGGAAGAGTTCCCGGTACCCACTGGATACGAGGATGAGTAGGCCCCAGAACCGGTCAGGACGACGTGGAGGGGAGAAAATCTTGGCCCTACCGGGACTCGAACTCCGACCAATGGCTCGTCCAGCCCGTGGCAAGTCGCTATACCGACTGCGCTATCCTGGTTCCTCACAAAAAAGGAAGTACACGTTTTATACACGTTTTCCACCTCTTGTTTGCGTTAGAAACTCCGATGACATATGGGATGAATCTGGCAGCTAAGCAGGTTCCTATTATATCTCGAAACGACACGAGAAGTATTACAAAGCGTAAGACGTGTTTAATTCTGCGAACGGACTTCAAGTTCGTGACGAAAATATATTACTAAAATGAACTAATTTTGATTTCCTATTTTTATTTGAAACGAAATTTCGGACTTATCTGTCTCCGTCCTCAGGTACAAAAAAAAAACTCTCATCTGATCTCAATCAATAGAGCTTGTCCTCATCTCTGGGCATCAGATGGAACATATCAACATGGTTTACATAGGTCCATCGCGTTGCTTTCGGAGTCCTCAGATAGGGATTAGCTCTATAGATTGGGCCCAACTGAGTAGGCCTTTTACTTTAGGAAGGAGATATGAGCCCAGTCTCCGAAACGTCGTTTTAAATGAAAATACTAAGATAGATAACGTCCATAAAAGTCAACCGTTGTAAAAGCAAGATTCTCTTTGATAGAAATGAAAATTTAACATTATCACCTTTTAAGGAAAAATATTCGTGAACAAAAATCGTGAAAAGCAGTCACTAATATGATAAAAACACAACAATAACTGTATCATCTGATTAACAATACACAAACAATGAGCGTAATTGCATATATTGAACTCACATAGAAGTAGAGGTCCACCTGTTCCGTCTTGCGGGCAATGCAAGTGAGCGTGTCCGACTTGCAACACCCTGTATCATCACCACAGAGGTGTAGAATGGTGCAGTGCGGGATGTATGTCTTGCTGGGGTGCGGGTACACGTCCTTCACCTGTATCAGTCTTGGCTTCGGCACCCGACACTGCCCCTCCCTACTTACTGTGAGAGCGTGTTGCACTGCCTTCGCTAGATCAGTGTCTGCAAACAAAGAAATGAGTGTCTTTAAGTTACTTGTCGACGCTGCCAAAAATGAAACAGGATTTGCTGATTAGTCACCCAACTGTCAGCAGGAACGCGACTCGTCATACATTGCAAGATTCATAATCTCAAGCATAAATTCATGTAAACAACGTTAATAGTAAGATTTCCATCTTCTAGGACAGGCATGTCCACCTTCAAACAGGTTGTGATCGAAATTTTAGTGTCGAAACTGCCCGTGATCTATCACCCCCTCGTATCGTCGTACCTCGCTTTAAGCAACAACATTGGCAAAAATGAAACGACACATGATGTTTGTTGTAAATGCAACATACACTAAAAGTACAGACTACATTAATACGTATTTTCCCTTCAAAATCTGAATATAATCATATTATATTACAAGTGAATTTACATGCTTTTCACGTATAATTTCCTTATAGGCCTATGAGATCGACAAAAAATCGTCCCTCGATCGACGCGTTGGACATGCCTGTTCTAGGATATAACGCCGTGTAGTCGGGTGAAACTTGCTTCCCACCTGCTGTCATGTTGGTTTCTTGCTTGGCTTGTTCCTGTACCGCGAAGATGGAGGCTCTTGAGAACACGGTATTGGACCTTCGGTTTCCATTAAATGCTGGGAATTTCTTGAGTGGCTTCTCAAGGAGGGGGGGGGGCTCTACTACGTTGGGTTACTTAGGGTAGGGGCTGGCATGGAACTGCGTCACGGAGCCTTACTTCAGCTCTAAAGCTTCCCCGAATTTATGACAATTCTGACCCATACGCCTATAAAATACGGGCATCAATAGGCGCTTCCGGCTGTTTTAACATATAATTTTATACGCTGAACTTCTGGTTATCTCAGCGGTGTCCCTGAAGAGCAATATAGAATGATTCTAAATTACTGTCGGGGTTTCTTTGGCCTATTATTTTCAAACCGGAAACAGTAACACAAAACTGCTTACAGCATATAGAATGGTAACTCAACATGAAGAAAGCAGTCTTCTGGGATGTGTCGCCGTGTAGATATAGTGTTAACCGACGTTTCGGAGCAACCTATCGCCTTCATCTTCAGGGTAGAAGACAAGAAGAAATCCGCGAGCGAACCAACGTGAGCAGGTGCATGCTAAGGCATGAACTGTCTTCGCTTTATCGGACTCTGTGTTCGTGGGGTCGAATCCCTCTTAAGGCATGGATGTTTGTGTTTGTTTACTCTGTTTGTTAGGAAGCGGCCTTGCGACGGGCCGATCACCCGTCCAAGGTGTCCTACCGACTGTCTTAGATTAAGGTAAAGTTGTCCCTGTGCTTAACTAATTAAGCACTACGCCATGAAGGCCTATTGGGGAGTGGATGTATAGACCCACCTTTTCTTGACCTCGGCACTAGAAAGAGGTGAGTGGTCAGCTTCACGCCCCCTGCTGCTTTACCACCGGAGAAAGAGCCCCCCCCCCCGGACCCACTGAATATGTGGTTTGGGTGGACCCCAGAACCGGTCTGGACGGTTTGGAGAAAATTCTTGACCCTACTGGGACTCGAACACCGACCCCTCAGTCGTCCAGCCCATAGCCAGTTGCTATACTGACTGAGCTATCCCGGCTCCTGTCTTGGATTAAGAGAAAATAAAATTTGCTTACCTCGACACCGTAAAGACATTAGAGGAGCAGATTAAGAAAGAAAGGAAAACTTTCTATTAGTGACGTAACGACGTGTGTCAATATCTGACGATTATGAAACCCTGAAGACTCTTTAAACAGAGCATATTGGCTTAAACATGGGTCGGTGTGCAGTCCGTCATTCCAGTTCCAAAGATGCTTACCAAATACTAACCGGCAGCACCTTTCGAAAATGGCGAATGGTTATGACATTGTCGGCTATCCTGTGGTCAATTGTGTGTAACGGAACGGGCAATTTGCATAACAGAGGATCATAACGACAACGTACATGTAAACAAATTCATTACACCGAACATACTGTATGCTGTTATTGAATGTAAATTATTTTCTTGGCCTAACCCTTTAAAGCGAAGACCATTCTGCTAATGGTACCATATACCGCCTGCTTTAATATTCAGAACCTCTGCATGTTTTTGACCTCGGAACTAGATGGAGGTGGGTAGTTAGCTTCAAGCGCCAGTTGTTTTATCCCCTGGGAAACAGCCCATTGGGTGGTCCGCCTGAAATCGTCTGGAAGCTGTGAAGTATGGAGAAATATGTCACGATTTAGGGGTGATTACAGACGGGGTATGGGTTGGCGAATGGATTTGCTGACCACTTTACAGCACGACTCGCAACTACAAGTAATTAGCCACCACTAATTTGCATATTTTACAAATCAATGCCGCAAACACTAGTCTTCTCTAGCCGGCAGTGTCTTCAACAGCCTTTCCCTAGCAACGGCTTCTAACAGAGGAGATTCTTCAGTTTCACGCGCTCAGGTTCTACCTTCACAGGCTCCCTTATAAAAATGAACTCATTATATTAAAATAAACTAACTTCAAGTCAGTAGAGTTCTTCGTCCACTACGGCGCGAACAGACTTCATTTATACCCCACATGTTCCAGTAACTAGCCGCCCGTCTTCTCTAAACGAGTGCGCAATACATCGGGCGACTACCAGCGTGATGTCATACTTATTAACCAGCAATTATGATTGGCTGTTGATTCCCGGTGAAGTCCCGATTTACTAACTTTAGTAGACTTGCATCATACTTTCTTGAACAAAGGGGAATTCCGGAATTCTAAAACTTCACGGGCTATGCCACATTGCGCAACCCTCTACTTGGCGTATAGTCTATTGTTTAATATAACGCGTAATTATATATTTCATTTTACAAATTCAAAAATTAATTAAACCTTACAAAATACAATAGTTATCACCTAATAACTATATACACATAAATCATGCGAAGTATGTTACTAGGAGGAGTAATAGGTTATAATCTTGCCACAGACGGGAATCAATTCCCAGCCGTCCAGCACGTCACTACACCGACTGGGATATCCTGGCTCATACACAACACTCAAACACGTTCCAAACGCGGAATCCGAGGGCCATGCCATAGCTGGCCGTTACTCGCCGGCTTCCTAACGTGGCGGCCGGAATTCGATCCCAAGTCAGGTCGTATGGGATCTGCGGTGGAGAAAGTGACATGGAGGGAGGTTTTCACCAAATAATATAGCAACTGGTTACGGGCTGGACGACCGAGGGGTCGGAGTTCTAGTCTCAGTAGGGTCAAGAATTTTCTATTCTCCACGTCGAGACGGGCTCTGGGGTCCACCAAACCTCTTATCCAATGGGTTCCGGGAGCTCTTTCCCCTGGGGTAAAACGGCAGGGGCGTGAAGCTGCCCACTCACCTCCAACTAGTGCCGGGGTCAAGAAAATGTGGATCTATACATCCACCCCCCATACGCCTTAATGGCGTAGTGCTTACTTAGTTAAGCACAGGGACAACTTTACCTTTTACCTTTTTATATGGAGTTATCTTCTGGGATGTGAATCAGAGCAATTTCCTAGAAGTTTACCGATTTTTCGCAGGAATGAACTACCTCCCGCTTCAGAATGTGGCTCTCCTTGTTTCTCGCTAGTTATATCCTGAAGATGGAGGAAGAAAACTCTGTTTCTCTCTGCAATTACACCCCCACTTCCCCGCTCATCCAGACAACGGCCTCTCCACTGTACATCTCGGCTCCTACGCACGAAATGCACCCAAATAAAGCGGCCAGGGCTTGACGCTGACCACTCAACTCCAACAAGTGCCGAGGTCAAGCAAATGTGGATCTATAATCCCACTCCCCATACGCCTTCACGGCGTAGTGCTTAACAATTAAACACAGGGGCAACTTTACTTTTTAATAAATACACACACACACATATATATGTAATATGTGTGCATTTAAACCAAAATGGCGGAGTTAAGAAATTATAAATTCCAGAACCTGATAAACTTCACTAACCTGTATTTCAAAATACGTTAAATTAGGACAGAACAAGATCGCAGGGCCACAGACAGCGAATCTCAGATCTAAACTCACTTCGTCCTCACACGGTACCAAAAGCAACTTAGCCATCTGGCGAGTTTGGTGACCTCTGTCGGCCAAATGCATTTAATCCGGCCTGGTCAGCGAGATCAGAGAATGGGGTATTCATTGAGCAAAGGTCTTCCAGTCTTCCTGAATGCCTGGGGCCATCCCGCAGATACTAGGGGCTTGGAACCACTTCACCTGCCAGAGATCTGATCCATGATATCGTTATGGAGCCCCAAGAATTTAATTAGAACAGAACCTGAGAAACCTGATTTACACTCCAGACATGATTTATGCCACAACTCGACAGAAGTTCACACTCTGTAGTTCGGGGAATGTATGTCCTGCGTGTTACGTCTGGGGCCAAAGACACGGGGCTAAAATTAGAATATTGGTTTCGAAAGTCCTTCCTCCCGAACTACAGAGTTCATTATCTTAATTTCCTTTTTCTCTTAATTCACCGAGCGGGCTACATTATCGATACATCTCTTGACTAGTATTCGGGAGGTATTCGGTTCGAACCTTGGGCCAGGACATCGGTTATCCTATGAACGTTCGTGGTTTTCCTCATGCCCTCCGGAAAAATACCGTGATAGTGCCTTCCAAATGATTTTCAAATCATGTCATCCATCAATTCGTTGGTATATAATCTTAACCACTGAAAGCGTCAACCCACGAATACGTGATATTCGCTTCGTTCCTTGACTACTCGTCTTCAGCTCCACCTCCGCTGTCTTCTTTTTCCTCCTCCTCCTCCTCCTCTTCTACTTCTTCTTCAGCCTTCTGTTCCTCTCTTCTTCATACTTCGTCTTATTATCTGTCTTACTCTCCCCATATTCCTCCTTCCTTAATCCGATTGTTCTTCCGTTCTCCTTCGTAATTTGACTGCTCTGACTACAAAGAGCAGAGTCTCTTTTAAGAAGCTACCAGTCGCTCAGCCACTCAAGAAGTACTCAACATTTAGTGGACCAGAAAGTT